AGGAGGGAGGGAGAAAGGAAATTTAGGGGAAAATGGTGGGGGCGATGCGGCCGGGGCTGGTTCCCCCCTCTTATAGGATGCGGCATTTTTGGGAGTTTTCGTGCGTGGCCTAGCTAGCCCACGAGGCTACGACCTGCCACACGTGACACAAGAAACTGAAATGCCCACGTACAATACATGTATACCCTCAGTGTACAAAAGATAACGGGCCGGTGCGGGATCGTACAAGGCTCTACGCGCGTTCTACCGGCTTTACGCGCGCTCTACGCTAGGATAAAAAGGACGATCGTGCCTTCCCCCTTCACGAATCATTTTTGAGAGATCTTAGTCGTCCTTGTGTTTCACGCGCCGAGCGTTCATTCCAGGGGGAGCACCGGAGCAGAAACATTGACACTACTAGGAAAATGCTTATAGGTAGATATTTAGCAGTAGCGTTGGATAAATATACCACGCTAGTGCTATTTAGAAGTAGCACCTGACCAAACCAGCACTGCAAGCGCATGTTAGCAGTAGCGCGTGATTTCTCGCCCAGCGCTGCTGTTAGTGGGCCATGCTCTCGGCCCCTTAGGCTATAGCACTGGCCCCCTCCCCCACGCTGCTGCTAAGCCCACCTCTGCTTCCTCTCCCCGCGCCGGCCTGCGCGCTCCTCTCTCTCACTCACTCACAATCACGCTCACACTCTCCCTCAATCTCCCGTTCCTGCCGCCGCCCCGCCTATGCCGGCCCTCCTCCCCCGCCGGCCGCCCTCCCCCGCGCTGACCCTCCTCCCTGACGGCCGCATCCTAGCCCGCATTTGTTCTCGACGTCGAGGATGTCTGGCCCGCATCCTCATCGTCGACTCGGCAAAGGAGGCTTGCTTGATTATAGGGGCCATGTCCGGGACTGGGCTCCGCCGGGCTGGTACTGGGAGGTGCTACCTTCCGGGGCGCGCAGCTTGGTGAGGAGGCAGTCCGTCGTCGGCCCAGACCTTCGTTGGTGGCGGTCGCGTGGGCCAGTGATGGTGGGGAGGCCTTCGTCCACCGCGGAGGTGGTATGTCACCGTGTCAGCGAGGAGGATGAGCACGTCCATCGCTACATGGTTGCGTTGGAGAGCAGGTTCGACAGTACCTGGATGGTTCTTCATGGATCTCACTAGAGCTATGATCCTGTGATGGTTCCTTCTCTTTGGGTGTCCACCGCCCGCGCCGATACACGTCATTCACTAGGGTTCTAGCTGTATTAGTGATGTTATATGTATGATACTATTCGAGATGTATTAGTGATAATATTCGACGATGTATGGACGCAAGAGATGATTTAGTTTTCTTATTGAATGCATGCTAATTTGAATACTAATTCGTTTTATGATTTAGTTTTGTCTATTGAATTTATGTCTGTTTCAACTATGAACATAGGAAATGTCTGACGACGATAGCAAAAGGAAATTCGGTATGTGTGAATACCGCGAAGATAAGCGCGACCTGTGCGATATGCCTCACCTAGTTGGTGCTAGGCGCTTCAGCATCAAGCTGGATGAGAACTTCAAAGTGCATACAGTAAGTCACAACGACAAGTCTTTTTTCATAATTAAGCATGACTTCTGCTTCTTTTGCTTCAACTTATAATTTTTTTTTACTATTCTACTAGTGTATCCCCTGACATGCAAGAATATATGTCTTGGATAAGGTTGATTTCAGTACTATGGAAACTATGGAGGTAAAAAGAGTTAACTTGAGGACCGAGCATGGTTATAGTTTTCTCGCAAAATTATATAATACAGACACATATACCCATTTTGAATGCAAACAATGGAGAGCATTATGCAACGCTTATGCATTTGAGCCTGATATGCTTATCACCTTTCATATTCGTCCGGAAGATGATATTGAAGATAATATCGACATCTGGGTCGATGTGTAGGCGCTTCCAGTTCTACCATTATGTAAGTTTCTCAACCATATTTATGTCTTGGATATTGTTTATTCAAAAATAGTTGACAACTAATTTCTATTGACAACTTATTTCCATTCAAGCAAACATGTCGGGCGCTTGGTAGACATGACCTACTACTGTCCCAGGGCTGAACTAAACTGCACGGAGACAAGTTATTATGTTTCATGGCTTGAGGATCTTCATACTGTCGAGACAAATTATTTTCCTAAACTTGAAACCTTAGTACTCAAAATGTGCGACCAATAGTGTTCATACTGAACTACGGTCACATCTATTTAGGAAACATGGTAAGATTTTTACTATTTGTCCTCAGTGCATCTTTTGCATACATTATTTTTTAAGCTAAAATTCATTGTTAATTATGTTACTATGATGTTCTTCAACAGGGACTCCCGATAATAGTTGTGCCTCAATGGATCGAGGCTAAAGGTCGCATGTCCATGCATGGTTAGCATACGGCCAAGACATCCTACATTGCACATGAGTGCATTCATGATTTCTAGAAGCGAGAAAGTCTTAATAGTCAAAGACTGGAACAAAATTGTGAAGAATCTTAGGGAAGTACTAGGGGGCAGCAATCAGAAGCACAACCCATAATTAGGAGACAGGTTCATCTGAATGCTTCACTATAATGAATAATGAGTGCTCCACATGTTCTATGCTATTTTACCCGAGAGAGAGAGAGAGAGAGCAGTAGGAGTGATTAGCTAGCTAGAATGAGTTTTAAGATGATGATGTGCTACACTATGTAGCTATGATGATTAGACAATGTTGGTGGTAATGACTAGCTATGATGATTATTAGCTAGTGTTGGTGGTAATTTTCCCTTACTTGCAACTCCTATGCTGAATTAGAGGGTATGTTGATGCTACTACTAATCATTGTTGGTGAAGCACATGCATCTGAATTTCCATCCATGAATACTGCATTTGAATTTTATTTTTTAATTTCTAATTAGTTAGCTGTAGTGTGGGGTGGAAATGTAGCTATACTAGTACATACGATAGTAGTAGCATGGGAGGAGAAAGGAGCCCTACTAGTACTTAGAATATCTGCAGCGTGGGGTAGAAACGCGCTACTGCTAAAATTTAGCTGTAGCGCCATAGCAGTAGCGCGGGCATGCACGCTACTGGTATGCAAAAAACCCACACTACTGGCAAAGTTTTTCCTAGTAGTGCGAGCTGCTCTTTCAAATCAGAATACATAGATCAAGCATCATCGAAATCATCATGCACATTGCGCTCTGGTGGCACCCCATCCATTCCATTTCCGTCACTAGCACAATAGTGGACTGCCTGTGTTTTCATTACTTTGCATATTTGTCCGAAGTCAAACATACAAAATTTAATCAAGTTTATATAGAGAAAAATATTAACATATGCAATACCAAATTAATACAATTTAATTCATCATTGAATATATATTTTCATCATATAATTTTTTATTGTAAAACTTCTCTCCCTCTCTTCCACCCCTCTACCTCCTCTTCTTCCCGTTGCCCCGCCGACGGAGCGCCAGATCCGCCCTTCCCCGCCGTCCCCTCTCCTCCCAATGATCGGACGCGGTGGCCGGACGTCCCCGCTGCCGATCCACAGCACGGATCCAGGCCACCACGCTGTGGGTCGTTGTCCGCCGATGCTTACTCAAGCCGGCGCCGCTGCTCGTCCGATCCGCCTGCCCCCACCTGATTCGCTGACTTCCCAGAGCTCCCTTCGTCGCGGCCACCGACAAGGACCTACCTTGGCGTCCGACAACGCACGTGGGGGATGGGGTGGCGGAGATCACTGACCGGGAGACCTACCAACGGAAGTGGATCAGGTCATTCCACACGGCGGAGCTCGCAACCATGGATTGCGACTGGTGGCAAGTCTGGTACCACTTTGGACTGACTTAACTTAATTCTTCTACTTATTATTTTATTCTTCTATTTTGGATCCAAAGAAGAAGAATAAAATTCATTAGAATGATTTTTTATTCTTAAATTAAGTAACAAAAAAAGATAAGTAATTAAAGAATACAATCCTTGTCGAATTAGCAAAGATTTTGGTTCGAAATCCTTTCATTTGATTAGCTAGCCCCTCCTTTTTCTATGCTCTGATATTTAAGGCCTTATTTAGCTTGGGTGGTACCACTTTAAATTGAATATCTATTTTCAAAAATGGGGTTTACCAAATTTTCCATCATGCACCGCCACCTGGCTGAACTTCCTGTTCGGGACATCGCCGATCCACCTTGTCCTACCAGAGCGGGGGGTGGTGAGCATGGCGATGGCGCGGGAGGACCAGGAGGCGAGGGAGCGCCTCTCGGCGGAGGCCACCGCCGAGGCTTACATGGAGGACCTCCGCCACCCGCACCCAGAGCTCGTCAAGGCG